CCCATGGCTAAAATTTGGTTTTGGATCTTTGTTTACAATTTTTATGCTAATAAATAACCTTTTTTTAATGGTAGACTACAAAGATAGGTGTTTTTCATCAATGGAAATTTTCACGGCTAATGCTCAAGTATTTGTCAATAGATATTAAAGGTTATATTGATAAATATGTTTGTATATATTTACAAATGTGCTATAATTTTTATCTGTTATCTTTCACAACTACACTAAATATTGGACAGCAGTTGCAAGAAATCTATGTATCTGGGTTTTTTTTACCTATTTATTTGGGTAGTATTTATAGAGACATGTATATATATATTTATATTTAAAACATTATTTACATAAACACAATAAATACATATTAATGGTTCTCTGGAAAATTTATTTCACATTTGATAATCAAAGTTCACTTTTCAACATTACATATTTAAGACAGGCAGTGAACAATTGTTTAATCATAGGAATAGTTTGCAATCATCTTGACTTTAGGGTATGTTGCATGATGCATTACTTATATAAATATATTTCTCTTATACCTGATTTATACTTTTCTCAACTTGTTAATTTTTGATATAATCAACATGTTGTTTTGTTTGATCTCAGATTTTCATTTGTTAAATCTGTTTTTGTTGCTTTCCTAGGAATTTTCTATTGTGACATCACAAAAAAAGGCGACCATGTGTGATGAAGTCACATATAACATGAAGAAAGAACATATGTTTTTGCAGCACATTAAAAAAGAAAGATAGGAGGAACTGATACCATTACCAAAACTTGTGCAATACAGTATTTTTCTACACTCTACAGTTAAATTTTGAATACCAGTATTTTAAAAGCTCAGCAAGCCGTAGTAAATATGAAAATTTAACTTTCTCGAGTAGAGAAATATTGTATCACACTCGATGCAGTGGTAGAATCTATTATATATGAAGAAGGAAATCAATATTAGAATTAGTTATTGTGGGATCCCTTTTTGATAATTTTTTTGTCTCCCCTGTGATGAAAGTCACAGAATGGTAGACATAGGGATTACAATCTGCCTTAAAAAAAAAAATCATAATTTTTTTGTTAAGTGAAATACTCACTTATGAGTATTAGGATAACTATATTTGGTATATGAGTTCCATGCAATGTCTACATGTGAGTAAGGTAGGGTTCACATGACCTCGACTTCATTTGATGGATGAGTGATCGGTTAAAGTTACGTGGTCAAGTCTGTATCTCATAAACTATAAGCATTAGGTCAGCTATATTTGTTGTATGGAATGATTGTAAGGTGTACATGTCCGTCTGGCACGTTTCATCTGACCCTGACCTCAATTTCATGGTTCATTTGAAAATGTTTAGATTTTTGGGTTTGGTCTATTTCACAGATACATAATAAGCAATAGGGCCACTATATTTGGTTTATGGATAGATTGTGTACATGTCTGTCTGGTGGGTTTCAAATGACCTTAACCTCATTTTAGTGGTTCATTGATCAATGATAAGTTTTCATAATTTTGTCAGTTTATCAGATACTATAAGCAATAGGTCAACTATATTTGGTTTATGTTGGTTCATGGAATGATTGTAAAGTGTACACATCTGTCTGGCTGGGTTCATATGACCTTGACCTCATTTTCGTGGTTCATTTGTCAATGTTAATATGTTGTGGTTTGATCTGTTTCTCAGGTACTATTAGCAATAAGACCACTATATTTGGTGTATAGAATGATTGTAAGGTCATGTCTGACTCGCATGGTTCGTCTGTTGGTTACTTCATTTTCATAGAACATTGATATAAAAAAAAATAATGTTAAGTTTATGTAATACTTGTTGTAAAACCTTCATATTACAGACTTTTTGCATAAATTCAATGATAAGTAAAACAGACGGGACATTTCAGCTCTTACCACTCTTGTTTGTATTAACCATGACCTCTGTAATATTTATTCACAATTTGTTTTTACTCAGATCTAGAGCTCCTTAGGGTTTGACCTATTTTATATATACATTTGTTGTACCTTTCTATTTTAAAAGACTGTAAGTTAACCCCTAGATGTCTAAAAGCAAAATGAGGGTGTTAAATTTGATGTATGCCTTTTTGTGCTTCTTTGTTACATTTGTTTGTTTTATAGTGATTAAGATGATAACACAATGTTGACTGCTGTACCCCTATTTTTGACATTTTTACCTATTGTGTCTGTTTGTTTTGTTCACGCATCGTTGTCAATATAATGGCATTTGATGCGACTGTCATACAAGTGAGAGGTTTAGCTAGCTATAAAACCAGGTTTAATCCACCATTTTCTACATACGGAAATGCCTGTACCAAGTCAGGAATATGACAGTTGTTATCCATTCGTTTGATGTGTTTAAGCTTTTGATTTTGTCATTTGATTTATGGACTTTCCTTTTTGAAATTCTCGGAGTTCAGTATTTTTTTGATTTTACTTTTTTTGGATATTTATGTTGTTTGGTTGCTGTGTAATTGACACATGCTTGTATATCTTTTTATTCATACATGTATATATTATAAAGTCTTTTTTGAATTGCAGCAGACCGTGATCCCAAATCACTGGTCAATGACCAGTAAGTGGTTGCTGATTTTAAATGTATAATTTAAAACAATAAAGACCTTTGACATATCAAATTAATAAGTACCAAATGTCAAATGCATATTGCCTTTTTGTATGGTCAATGATGTTTTTATTACGTTGATAAGTTATAAATCTAACAAAAGGCAATTTTACCAAAACGGCACAAGGGTTTTTTGCGTCAGGGCAGAAGGACGCAGATGAAGGCACCCAGGGCGCGGCACCCTTCTATTTTGGGCTAACGAGACCACTGATCTTGTTCAAATAAACATATCAGCATCACAGAATTTCTTCAGTGGAAACTTTCTAAGGAAATATTATTACATATTTTATCTTAGTTGAAACATGGCTAAAAAAAAAGTGCACTAAAATTTGTTTCTTTACAGTAATCTTATAATCTTTAATGGTTTAAAGTAAAATTTTCATGGATAATGGAGAAATTTATCTGTACAATTTATCGTCACTAATGTTATTTTTTTTTAAGTTGAAAGATTAGTAAAACCCAAAATAAAGGTATATTGCACAAAGCTAAATATAGACAATGCATTCCAAAGTTCATTTTTTTTTTATTCAAAGGCAATATACTTTTATTGTCATCATACCATTTTAGATCTGACTGGTTTGAAACAATATCCTTGAAATAGTCAAGTATTCATAGTGAGTGAGTTTAAATAAAAATGTGTCCTTGTTGAAGTTGAAGTTCATGTTGTTAATGATCTGTTATCTTTAGTACATCTGTCTGTAAACGTACAAAACTTACATATTTGATAATTGTGATTTGAACCAGTTACAGGAAGAGTTTATTTAGTAAGTACAAACTATAAATGAATGATATTTTTATGTTTAGTATTATAAATAATCAACAAAGATTAAGTAACAGGAAACGACTGGTTACTTAAAGGTCATATTTAGTCATTAACATAATGAATATTTCCATTGGCTTTTCCCCACGAACTTTATTATCTACTCATTTACAAGTATAGGTAGTCTGCTGGTAGGTGTTTTTTTTATTTCAAGAATTAATTGCCGAAAAATTTTGGAAATCAGTGCATGCATATATTAATAGGTGACCTATAGTTGTTAATTTCTGTGTCATATGGTCTCCTGTGGAGAGTTGTCTCATTGGCAATCATACCACATCTTCTTATTTTTATAAATCATGAAATGATGACTCAGTTAGCAAATACGTTAATGCAACTTGTATAAAACTTTTATTTTGAGTTTCAAAGAATTTTTTACAAACTCAATAGCATTTTTCCTAAAAAAAAAATACCTATTTATGAATTGACAGTAAATTTGTGAATTTTATATCGTGTATATAACCTACTTGTAACTTCATCAACCGAGATTATAGTTTTTAAAGCAAATGATAAAAAATGATGGAATATGTGTATCTGAACAGTTATGATGCTTTCAGTAATTTTATACATAGAAAATTTTGTTTGCAGCATGTGTAAAGATTGTTTGAATTTTGTTTGCAGCATGTGTAAAGATTGTTTGATTCTCAACTATATTAAATTTTTGACCTTACTGAAGAGAGAATCATGATTACTAATGATGATTACTTTCTTCTCAAGAATTAGAGAAGTTTGTTATTACTCAATGCAAAATAATTTAAAAGGAATGGCAAGTTTTTTTTTTCAATTATTTAAGAAGCAAATATAATGTTATTATGTAAATTATCCTTCTGACTTTTACAGACAAAAACATGGATATGATTGACCCCTGATTGACCCCTTCTTAATCTTTCAAATTAGAATTTTTATTAAAGTTGAATTTTTATGAATAAGAAATGACAACTGTTATATAAACAATACTTTTCTGGTGAATTTTACTTATTGAAATTGTTTATAAAAAATTCTGTCAAGCCCTTTTGACAATATACTCAGGAAAACAGTTCTAGACTACGGTATGAATCCAAACAGTGCTTAAGGCATGATAATTAAGTCAATATGTACCTATATAAATTTCAAAGGTCAAACTCAAAGTTCATTTTTTCTGGCAATATATCCGGATACCAACTTTATAAAGAGGTAGTTTCCATTGTACAAACCTAAAGACCTACCACATCTTCAACAGTCATTTTTTGAATCCATATTCATGTAGTTAAAATTTTCTAGAAAAAAAACAAGCAATATAGTGAAATGATGAGCACTCAAATATGCACTAGTAATTTTTGGGGCCCATTATAGCTTGCTGTTCGGTGTGAGCCAAGGCTACGTGTTGAAGACCGTACTTTGACCTATAATGGTTTACTTTTATAAATTTTGACTTCCATGGAGAGTTGTCTCATTGGCACTCACACCACATCTTCTTATATCTATATACAAAGTATAAACTCAACATAAGTTAATGTGTTATTTAAAGAATGAAAGTTTTAAAACACTTTAATTCAGGAATTGATTTGTTATTTATTTCCAGATAAAACAAGATGAAATGGTATACACATATGGGAGATTTTGCTAACATGGTGAAAGCCTTCATTGGATCCAATTACTTAGCTGTGTCATTTGCTTTTTACCAGAGTGGATTAGGAGTAAGTAAATGAACATGTGCAACTTATGAGGCACCAACTATTTATTGTATCCAGAATGTAAGGACATTGAAGTATTACACATTTTTTGCATGTATCTTATATTCTCACATGAGTGGAATATTTCATTTTCAATGACGGCGTAAAGGACCTATATATTCATTGAAAGACAATTCTGTAATAACACAGGTGTAGTTAATGAGCATGAAAAATATTGATAATTCTATATGACAATTTTAAATGGTACATCAAATCAATGATACTGATTATACATGTATAGTTACAAGTGTTATTTTCAAGGAAACCTGTTCCCATTTATAATATTGAACACGTGTGTATAAGGTGTAATCATAATAAAAAAACCTGTCTGCCCTGGACAGTCTTGCACGGTAAACTGGACTAGTTACAGTATATGTACATTTTTAGCTCACCTGGCCTAAAAGGCCAAGTGAGCTTTTCTCATCACTTGGTGTCCGTCGTCGTCATTGATAACTTTTACAAAATCTTCTCCTCTGAAACTACTGGGCCAAATTAAATCAAACTTGGCCACAATCATCATTGGGGTATCTAGGTTTAAAAATATGTCTGATGACCTCGCTTGCCAACATGGCTAAAAATAGAAATTAGGGGGCAAAATACAAGTTTTGTCTATTATTTTGAAAATCGTTATAAATAGAGAAAATCTGACACGTGCAAAAATGTTAAGAATGTTGAGCTCTACCAATTGTCCATATACCAAAACTGTCAGGCGACTTCTGATAGGAGTTATTTCCCTTAAATGACAAATTTACCTTTTTATACGCCCGTTTACGGGATGTATTATGGTATACCGTTGTCCTCCGTCCATCTGTCCGTCCGTCTGTCCATCCGTCGCCAACATGTCGAACAATAACTCAAAAATGCTTTCACCAATTTGCATGAAACTTTGGTGAATTGTTTATATCTATTGATGTGAGCTCCCTTTCAATTTTTACAAATTTTAGATATTATGTTTCTGGGTTATGGGGTTTTATTCATTTAAAAAGGGGGATTTTCCAGTTTTCACTCTATAACTCAAAAATGCTTTGAGCTGTTTTCATGAAACTTTCATGAATTGTTTATATCTATTGACGTAAGCTCCCTTTCGATTTTTATAAACTTTCGATTATACGTTTCCGAGTTATGGGATTTTATTCATAAAAAAGGGGCGATTTTCCAATTTTTGAACAATAACTCAATTCAAATAGATAAATAGACACTTTAAACCACAAAAATGACCAGCAAGGCAAGATCTACTAACAAATAAAATTTTGCCGATATAGTTAAGTAGACTGTCACTCTTTATAGGAGTGATTGCCCTTAAATGAGGATTTTTTTACCCTCTTTTGTGTTTTGAGCAAAAACTAAAGAAGATAGAGAGAAACTAAACAGACTAAGTGATCTGCAATACAAGATCAACAAAACAGAGATTTTTGTCATGAATTCTATTCTCGTCTACAATGTTGGAGAGTGTCCTTTGTTGAATATGCACATAGACCAAGGTGAGTGACACAGGCTCTCTAGAGCCTCTAGTTTTGTTTCTTGACACAAGTCATTGACATCTGACATTGAGATAGTTATCAGAGACATAAGTGAACTGAACTAGATATGTACATCAGTGAAATGATAGATACATGGCACACTATATGCAGTTCAAAGTTCAAGGTTACAAAGCTTCAAAATGATTATCTTACATTACAAACATAAACAAGGATATGTTTATTTTTTTTTTAATTTCAAACATTTTGAACCACCCACGTTTGACCCAGCCTTTTGCAAGAAGCATTGTGTAAACATACTGTTCAGGAATTTGTTTGCCATAATACTTAACATATAATATTTTCTTGTAATGTTGTCTGTTACAAAAGAAAATACATGGCAAACTTAGGCTTGGGTGCCCCAAAGCATGTTTAACCCTCCTATATTCTGTATGTGTCTGTCCCAAGTCAGGAGCATGTAATTCAGTGGTTGTTGTTTGTTGCTGTATATCATATTTGTTTTTCTTTTATTGATTTGTTCATAGATTAGGCGGTAAGTTTTCTTGTTGTACATTTGTCATTTCTGGGCCTTTTATATATTCTGAATTGACTCGGATAGGACCTTGTTAACCGCTATCACCAAGGCAAATACAATTTGATCTGTGTTACCGATGGCCATTTAAAACAAATATTTTTGCTGGCGTGTACAGCCGATTTTCGTCTGCCATTCTGATTGCCACTGCACTACAATGGATTTTTCAATTGTTTACAACTGGTCTTGAAATGATGAAGTCTAGGAATGTAAAAAAAGTGTCCAGTTCTACATGCCTGTTTTGTAATTGAAGGGGAAAGTCAAATATTATAAAGAATTCTGTACTTAAACTATTTTTTTTTCAACATTCACATTAAAATGAAAGATGTAGCTTGTTTAGCATGCATAAAAAATAATTGCAACATTGTCAAATAGAGAAAAAATAAGGTCTGTAAATGATAACATCTAGGAATGTGAAAAAAAGTCTCCAGTTCTGCATGCCTGTTTTGTAATTGAAAGAAAAAGTCCAATATCATAAAGAATCAATTTGTGCTTCAAGTTTTTTTATGGTTCAACATGCACATTAGAATATATAATATGTAGCTTGTTACACATGCATAAAAAATTATTTCCGCAGAGTAATTATTTTTATGATTTGTATTTAAAGAGAAGATATTTAAAAGAAACATTGTATCCAACATTTATTTGCCTTTCTTTTTGTTTACAGCTTGGAATCATTGGATTATTATTTGTAGCCACACTCACAGACCATTGTTGTCATCTGATAGTGAAAACAAAATACAGAGCAATCAGGAACACTATAAATGATGTGAAAGTTCAGTCGAAACCCAACAAACAATACATGGCAACCAGTGATTCCGAAGAATTCAGTGAACCTGACATTGAAATAGAATACGATGAAGTTCTTGAACATGAAGAACATATGAAGCGTCACATGTCATATGGCGATGTTGGATGGAATGCATTTGGAAAATCTGGGTTATATGTTGTGAATTTCTTCATTGCTATCACACAGTTTGGGTTCTGTGTTGGTTATTTTATTTTCATTGGAAATACAATACAATCTTTGTTTCCCTATATATACTGTGATAATACCATGCCATTCAACTCAACTGTAAATGCATATCCAATTTGTCATGGTGTTATAGCACACAAATCAGCAGTTAATTCTTCAGATTTATATCTTCAACATAATAGACATGTACGTCAATTATTAGATCAAGATATGAAACATTTTGAATCAAACACTTCTGTCATTCAATTTACAACTGGAAACAGTACAACATTTGTACCAGTCACATCAGCAACAGTCAGCAATGTATCAACAGTTATACCAACAATTTCAACAGAATCAACAACAAAACCGACCACACCAACAGTAACAACAACAAATAGTTCAACAATAAAACCAACTACATCACCAGTAACAACAACAAATAGAACAACAACAAAACCGACCACATCATCAGTAACAACAACGAATAGTTCAACAACAAATAGTTCAACAACAAAACCGACCACATCAACAGCAACAACAACAAATAGCTCAACAACAGAACCGACCACATCAACAGCAACAACCACAAATAGTTCAATAACAACGACGTTACCTACAACAACAGCAACAAATGTTTCAGAGATTTCCAGTATTGTTCAGCAGTCTTCGGCACCATCTCTCAAATTTTTAGTGGCATCACCTCTACCACTTTTTATCATATTTGCCATGATAAGAACAATACGTAAAATGTCTTTCATCAGTGTGTTGGCCAATATATCAATATTTACTGGTTGTATTGCTGTTTTTATATTTCTTGTTATTGGTAAGTCTTGAATTTTGTCGAGCCTGCAACATTTATGCGGGACATAGCGATTCTAGATTCTGGTGTCGGCATTGGCAGCGTCGACATTTAGGTTCTGTCTGTGGGAAAAGTTTTTTTAGACATCAATAACTTTGACAAATTCCCCATTTCTCAATTTTATTATTAATTTTTGTACAGTTAACATTCATATTCAGTCTAAGGTTAAAGTTTTTCAGTGATCAATAGCTTTGTCAAACCTTCATGGAATTTTGTATAATTTGGACAGAAGCTTGTTGACCAAAATACAGTATCCAGAGCAAGATTTTAAAAATATTTCTTTTCATTTTCCTGTATTTTGCTCTTAAATGGACTTATTTTTTTTCAGTTAACAAGTAAATACAGTCTGGGGTTAAAGTTTGTTACACATCAATTACTTTGTCAAATCTTCATAGAATTTTATGAAACTTTGGCAGAAGCTTTTTTAGGGTTAAGAAATAATGTCTGAATCAAACTTTTGAAAATATATTTTCATTTTCAGTATTTTTCTGATAGATGGACTTAGTTTTTTACAGTTAACATTTACAGACATTATAAATTTGTAAACCTTCATAGATTGTTTTGAATCTTGGACAGAAGCTATTCTTCAAGACCTAGAAATAGCATCTAAAGAAAATGTTTGATTTTTTTTTTTAAATCTGTTTTTTTCTGATAAATGACTCACTTTTTAAGTCAACATTACACTTTTACACTGACACCAACAATCACAGGCAAGACACAGGGTTCCCCAGAACCCCTTACACATTTGTATCTTGCCTGTGACTAAATATTTGTAGCGGGACTAGGCATTCTGTATCTGATATTTCTATTAAATCAAAAACTATTGTTAAAGTTTTTGAATAGGTTATCAGACAGCCGAGCTTTTGATACATTTACAGTACAACCTATTTACTTTTATAATGATTCTATTTCAATTGTTTAATGTGATTTTTTTTTCAAATTTTGAAGTATTTACTCTCACAGTGTTCAATATAGACACACTTCCGATATACTTTTTTATGAGGTACCATCTCTCACAAATTTATAAATATCACAACTATAGCATACATGTACATGTAAATAGATCATAGCAAATATGTAACATTGACTCTGTATTATCATATGATCCCTTTAGTGGTTGGCTGTCATATGATTTGATACGGATGTCCTACTTATCATACGTAACTAGACACACTTAAACAGTGGTTTTCATCTTCAAGTAGTTTAACCACATTAAAAAGAATGAAATGATCTAATACATACATGATTATGATTCATTGCCAAAAAATTAGCATATAATTTATCAATGTAATTACTATTATAATAACTTTGGATTTCTACTGATCAAATATTATAAAATTCTGAAAATAAATACAATGAGCAAAGGGAATTGATTTTGAATTCAAAATTTGTTATAATCATGATAATTAGTTTTTATGGTCTAATTATGAAATAATGATTTTAGTTTATTGTTATTTGATATATATTTATTCATTATAATAATTACTGTAAATTCAGAAATTATTGCGTGCATTTATTATTGCGATTTTGTCATTTTAGACTAAAATGCGATTTTAATTTTTGCGATATTCAGAAAAATCCTGTTTGATTCATATATAAAATTTCAAAATGAGAGATTTAATTATTACTATGATAACCCTGTCGCATTTTTTCGCAATAATAAAAACATCGCAATAATTTCTGAATTTACAGTATGTGTATTTGTTTGAAATTTCTACACATGCTTCTGAGCACCTGACTTAACCCCACAGATTTTTGTACTCACTTGCGACGAACAGATTCTAATCTGACAACAGTTTATGAATAATGTAGAGCTAACCAGGATGAATGTAGGGAAATTTGGATTGCTACTATAAAATAATGAGAAGGTACAATCATAAGTCAAAGAATGATAGACTATACTGTGGTCAAAAGGGACAATACTGTGGTCAAAAGGAAATAGGTCAAAAGACAAAGTACAGTCCATAAAACACAGAAAACTAACAATTGAGCAACATGAACCTAGTCATAAACTGATAATGAAGTCAGGTACTCTGAAAGGGTAAAAACAAAAGCAGATTTATTGGTTAGAGACAGAAATTTTGACAAGCTACAGATCTCATACATGATTTACAAACCAATAAAAGAGTTACGCAAACAGACTAGTGTGACAACCACTGTGAATAGGGTTTCAGATATCTTACAACATATTAACCTACAACTATTACCTTTTACAGATTTTGAAGTTCATCCTGATATTCGTTATTTTAACTGGGAAGGATTTCCTGTGTTTTTTGGACAGTTAACAGCAGCCTTTGAAGGAATCGGCTTAGTAAGTTATACCCTAAACTTATGCAGATGTTAACTGGTATACCCTAACGTATACAGGTGTTAACATACCATAAATTTTACAGGTGTTAACATGCCATAACTTATACAGGTGTTAATTGGTATATTCTAACATATACAGGTGTTAACATACCCTAAAAGTTATACAGGTGTTAAATAGTAGACCCTAATTAACATATAGAGGTGTTAACAAACCTGAACTTATACAGGTGTTATCATACCATAATATAACTTATATAGGTGTTAATTAATATACCCTAACATTTACAGGTGTTAACACACCCTAACCTGTACAAGTGTTAAATACCCTAACTTATGCAGGTGTTAACATACCCTAACTTATACAGATGTTAACATACCCTAAGGTATTAACTAGAGTACCATAACTTATACAGGTGTTAACTTATTTTCTTTCAGCTAGTTTAGAGTTCATTTTGAATTTCAATTAGAACTATATGTGCTATTGTTAGTTTAAGAACTTGATCACAAATTTAAAAGTCCGCTGGTTATGATGAAAGAGTTTATTCTTTTTGATAAAATTATTGAAACCTGTGAATTGAACACTTTTTAATAACATCTTATATTTTGATAATTCTGATTTCAGGGTAAAACGTATTTTACCGGTAATTCAGATATTTAAGAAAGGAATTCCTGCTGATCTCAGAAACTACAGAGTTATTCCTTTTGTGCCACATTTTTAAAAACTATTTTTGAAGTATTTACCATGTTTTTGTCGCTATTTAATACTTATTTTTACAAACTCTGAATACATTTGTGATTTTAATATAAACATTATTGTTACTGCAATCTCTTGACTTATTTTCATAGGTTATTCCTGTTGAATCAAGTATGGAAGGAAACAGACACAACTTTGCATCATTTTTACATGGTGCCATATGTGTTTTGTCAGTCATACTTGGAAGCTTTGGAATTCTGGGATATCTAAGATTTGGTAGTGAAGTGGAACAGATGTTGAACTTGAACATCCCCTCTGCAAGCTGGGTTGCCTTTGCTATAAATATATGTGTGATAGTAGGTGTGGCCTTGACCTTTCCATTACAGATATACCCAGTGACAGAGATGATAGAATTAGTTCTATTTTCACACGGTAAGTTATTTATTTGTGTATAAATAAATTTGGTGTATTTACTGTCTTCTGATTGGTTAAAAGTATAACCTTTATTTTCAATGTTGTCAATTTTTATGGCGACACGCCCACTCTGACGTTGTGTATTCATACACCAACATGTGTGTACGTTGTTATTGTTAATATAAATAATATAAAAAGCTCTTTGAGCCTTATTTTTGAAAGAAATTTATTTATAATGAATGACAATAATTTATTTTGAATTTATTGAACCATAAAATTAATTTTTGACTCTTCACATTTTACATAATCTGCTTCGCGGATTATTCAATGTGAAGAGTCAAAAATTAATTTTATGGTTCAATAAATTCAAAATAAATTATTGATAAATTATATGATGCATTTTTAGATCCATAATTCTTCAATGTTTTATTTATTGTGGGTATCATTAGTGAGTCATAGCTAAGTTGTTCTTGTTAAGATGAAGAAAAAAAAAACACCTTAAAACCTGAAACACATGTTATATATGTCCTATCAGGGCCTTTTTGAACAGGGGTATAGAAATATAATCACCTTGACCTTCATTCGCCAGTGAAATTAATGCAGAGGACCATCCATTTGGCAATGTAGGATGTATAAATAAGCTAGGCATGTCTTGTTGGAATGTGGAGTTAAATCTGATGTCCAGTTCAGGGAGAATGCCATGCTCTGCTCACATTATAAAACCTTTAGAATAAGTCTTTGAGGGGTCCATTGCTGATATTGCAAGAAAAAATGTCTACCCCTATCCAACATACCCATCTTTTCCAGAGTCATCCTAAATTAATCTTTCCTTTTTTCCTCATTGATCCTAATTGTTAAAACCAGCCAATGTGATTTATTCATACCTGCCAACTGTCACTATTTGCGGGGGATTTCCCCAATGGAGGCTCTCTATTGGAAATTTGAAAAAGCAATTTTGTCCACAATTTAAAACAAAACAATCAATTTTACCATGGGTATAGGATTGTTAAAGTATGAAGAAGCAAATAAACAACATTAAAATAAATTTGAAGGCCCCTTTAAAGGTTTTGTAGGACTATGAGAGCCATCTTGCACATAAAACCCCCATGGGCATTTTGAAATGTTGGCAGGCATGTTTATTTTTGATTTGTTCTCGTCCTGAAGATACATGAAATATTTGCCTCTTAAATGACTTTATATTAAGTTAAACAACAATTAATCATTAAATGAAATTTTTAATTCTGTAATTTTCTAACTAACAAAGAACATCCTTCAAAATCTCACAATATTGATTTTGGAAATTAAAATTGTTGTGTGTATTGTTTAGGCAGTATATGTGGACCAAAGAATGGAAAAGATCTAGATGACTCAACAGAAGAAATGTTGTTACCAAAAGACTCTCCTGATTTAGTTAAATTAATACCAAAAGAGGTAAGAAATTAAATAAGTTTTTTTTATCCTGAATTGTTGTGTGTTATATAAGTTTCTATCATTGGTGTCAAGATATGGGTTCACGCTTCCCAACATTATTTGAAAAAAGTCAGTAATCTCCCTCTGAAGACCAGTCTTCTGACAAGGAGGTAAAATCTCCAATATTCTTCTTTTGTTTCACTAAAGATATTTTTAACACAGTTTAGAGTCAGTGCTCAAGCTACTGGGCACGTTAATGCTTATTAATAAATCAATAATTTGAAATATTGATTATAAGAATTTTTTATATTTATGATTTAAACAACAAAAAGGGAGATAAATATAATAGAAAACTACTATGCAAATTAGGTTCTGCAGAAATCTTACAAAAAAATTTCCTCTGAGAGAGATCTCACATTATAGAGTTTTGAAAATTGAAATCTTTTTCAAAATTTTCATAGCAAAAAGAAAGGGAAAAAACCTCAAATACTTTTCAAAAAAATTGAGCACAAACAAGACCCCTCTGAAAACTGTTTTTTTAAGTTGCTCTAGAAGGGTAGGCAGTTCTTGCTGACCCCTAGTGGCACCAGTCTTGTTACTAATGACAAAGAAATTTTTATGCCCTCAGGGTCACTAGAGGGGGCATTAAGTGTCACCCTTGTTCGTCTGTAAGTACATCCCAAAATTGATTTCAGTTCTCTAACTTTAGTAGGGGGCCTCGGTGGCCGAGTGGTCTAAGTAGTTACTACTGTAATCACTAGCCAGTCAACACTGAGGTTGTGAGTTCGAACCCCGCTCGTGTGGGTGCACTCGACTCCAATCTTAATTGACTAGAATTGTCAGTTTTCCTATCGAAGGTCAGTGGTTTTACTCCGTGCACTCCGGCTTCCTCCACCAATAAAAAACTGGCCGCCACGAACTAGCCCAAAAGCGGTGCTTAAAAGTGGCGTTAAAACACCAAAAAATCAAATCAAATCAAATCTAACTTTAGTATGCCTCTACCAAATGTTATGAGACTTATACACAATGCATCTTTAAAGACATTTTGTTTGGTTTTCAGTATTAATGTTATATATCAACTTTGATAATAAAGTGCATGGTAGATTGTTAAAATGGATTTATTTTTGTATTTTTAATTAGGTATCTACTTGGAAGAGAAATTTAGTAAGATTTTTAGTAGTTTGTGTGTCTGCTGGATTGGCTGTTATTTTTAGAGATAGTTTTGCATATGTTGGTGCTTTTACAGGTAAGTAATACACAATTATAGACAGTAAAATAGTATGAATCATGATAATAAATAAATTTCTGTCTGCATCAGTGCTATTCTAGTAATAATGTTGGGCCGGTTGAGAGCTGGGGGGGGGGGGGGGGGGGGGGGGGGTTGTTGTTGTTGGACAACACTTTTATTATACCACACTATCCATGAATTTTATTTTCATTAAAACATAACTGTATTTCCTTCTACCCCTATTACTCACATAAAATTATCATGTGGTGTCAAACCCTCCCTACATTTGTTTCATGAAATAGCCTTCATTTATTTTGTACACAATGCAAAACAACACAGAAATTTGAGTACAGTTTATCTACATAGAAGTCTCAAAAAGATTTAATTATAGGGAAAAAAAACAAGAAAATTGTTTATTTTTGAAGTCATTTATTATTTGTTTTACACATGATGTTCTTATTTAAAAGGAAATTCATCTATTTGAATTCAAACTTTATGGACCAGTGCAGAAATTCAACTTCCATATTTGTAAATTATAATGCATATTCTCAATGTTCTTGCAATTTAAGCTTTGCCAAACTATAGTTATTCAGAACAATGACCTTCCCATGATGTCTGTATTGGTCAATTCCTATTCTATTATAAGAAAAAAACACACAATTTTTAACAACATATCATTTTGTTTTACATTTTTACAGGTAAAAAATTGATTAAAAGTTTCTTTTGTATTTTACAGGTGCAATAGGAAGTTCTTTATTAGCTTACATACTGCCATGTCTATTTCATCTAAAGATCTGTGGAAAAGACTCGTCATACGTGATTATCATAAAGGATGTGACTATAGTTATTATTGGTGTGATATGTAGCATCGTCAGTTTATATGCTGTTATAGTCAAACTGATACACCAGACTTCTGTATGATCATAGAATCTTTATTATTTTATGTTTCGTATTTGTAGGTTTATATGAACAAGGATTTGGAAACAGTTGAATTTTGTCAGTTATGTCTCTCTTTAGACTGAAATTACTGAAATGAAATTCCTAAATTTTAATTTTGTCTGATTGATTTTTAAAATTTACCAAGATTGGACACTTCACTTCTTTTTATACGACCGCAAAAATTTTTTGGGGTAATTGCCCTAAACGTTTAGGAATTTGGGGCCAAAAAGGGGCCAAAAAACAAGTATTTTTCTAGTTTCCAGACAATAACTTGTGTTCAAGTGTATGGATCTCTCTGAAATTGTACTGCAAGGTACCATACCACAAAGGGAAGGCTGGGATTGAGTTTGGGGGTGATGAATCATAAGGGGGTTCAAAAAATTTGGGGGGGGGGGGGGGGGGAGGGGATTTTTTTTCCTTTTTTTCCTTTTTTTTTCTTTAAAATTTTCCATTTTAAATTGGTTATTTCTGATTTATATATAAAAGCAAATAATAATGATATGGTTTGAATAGGTAAATTAAAATTTTTTAAGTTCTTAGATCACATTCATTCTGTGTCGAAACCTATGCTGTGTCAAATATTTAATCACTATCCAAATTCAGAGCTGTATCAAGGTTGAATGTTGTGTCCATACTTGCTCCAACTGTTCCTGGTTCGACCTCTGTGGTCGTATCAAGCTGCGCCCAGCGGAGCATTTTATTTTATCTAAAATTGACATTTTTGTTTTGTCAGTAAGTGAATGTCGTCTTTTTTCGGTAATAAAACTGTCACATGGTATTTTCTTAAGGTCCCTCCAGTTACTGTTTTAATGCCCCCCCCCCCCCCCCCCCCCCCCCCATATTAAAACACTTAAACAAGCAAGAAATTAAAAAAAAACATGATTTACTGCCACTTGTTGTAACAGATACAAAGTTTCATGTAGTGCATGCTGGACATTGATACACATTTGTTAATGTTGTGACCTGTTGTATAAATTTGACAGTTTGAAAAATATGATTGAAACTTTCAAGTCATGTAAAAATGACCCAATATCTCATGAAAATTTTTTCCAGACCCTTGGTTATGAACTGTTTGTTAAGAATACTTTTGTGCATGATGTTTTAATTGCTCAATGTTTTTATTCCCCAAATCTAGAGGGGGCAATATAGCAATCACCTTGTCAGTGTGTCTTTCTGTCCATCTGTCATTCCTTTTCATCCAACAACTATTTTCATCATACTTTTCTGAGAAACTACTTAACAGTATGACTTCATATTTGGTCAGCAATTTGATGGTGATGAGTTGTATATGTGAGCATTTTTCAGTCTATCAGAAACTTAATTCCTGTTTGTGGATACTTTGAAATTTTCAGTATGTAGGATGAACGTCATAAACAATAACCTGGTATATTGTGGAGCCTTTTGTAGCTCACCTTACAGTAATCACCTGTAGAAGTGTAGATAATTACTGCCGTGTCCTTATGTTCTTTGGTATGTAGTGTACCCTTTGTAGCGGCACCATAAAGTCTGTCGAGGTATAGATAATCACTGCCTTGTCCTTTTTTTCTTTAATTGATAGCTGTCTTATTGACTATTACAATATATCTCTATATTTTTATATAAGGTTGTAATATGACAATATATACTCAATCTTGTATATTGTAAAAGACATTCATATTAATGTATTTATTCATTGGTACTTTAAAAAAATATCTTACATTATTGGCTATCATTTCTGCCAAAAAAAAGAAATATATGTTGTAATGTTTTATAAATACCATGTGTAACAAATGGTAAACAAATATTTGCTCATTAATTTTTATATAAGAGTTAATTATACATTGTATATACTTTTGTGGTTGTTATCAGGTAATGTAGTCCTGTATCTACATTATGTTTTTTTATAAATATTAATCTGTGATAATATGTTATATTATGTTACAATTTTAATATACTTTATATCTTGTGCAACATCCTTCTACATGGACTAAAATAAGTCAGTTTTGCTTACTGCACTGACGTACCTGCAACCAATATTATAAAAGGTGAAACATAGATGTGTTTTTTTATGTCAACAGTAATGCTAGTATATTCTAAATAATACATATTTTGTATGAAAATCTAGCAAACTTCCTAACAGTGGTGACATAATGCTGCTCATCTTTTTTGTAGAGAAAGGGAAGTTTTACCTGAAAGATAATGCTGTATGAAGTTAGGACATTTAGATGTTTTTTTAGTATTAAACTTGTGGTGTAGGTTAGCTTTCTCTTTGAATTTTATCCATATTTTTTTTTATTCATACTGCTTTAAAACACAATTTAAAATATGGGGTAAACACCACAATATATTTTAGCACTATGTAGGGAGAGCTGTTTGGTTTATTGTTTTAGCACATTTATGTTTAAGTATACAAAATATCTCTCTGTAGTTTTAAAACCTTTTGCATGCATGTTTTACCTCAGGATATTTTTTGTTTTAACTTTTGCAAAATATTTTGTTTTTATTGAATAGATTGTTAAATGGTACAATGAAGCACACAGCAGCACCAGTCTCTAGGGGGCTTACTTTAATTGGTTCTCTAAAGACAATTTGTACTATCAAGTTGTTTTATGTGCAATATTTGAATTAAAAGTTTTTATGTATGTGATCATTTTGTATCATTGTGTACTAAGTAAACCCTGTATACTTTAATATTTATTTAATCATTGTCATTGTTAACATGTATTTTTTTTCTTCAAAAGTACGCTCAACAAAAATGGTAATTAATCATATTATTATACACAGATATGATTTTTAACTGGGTTTTAGACAGAAATTCAGTTATTGATTTGGGGTTTAGGGCAGGCATGCTTTTTCAGTTGTTTCCGTGAAGTAACTTATGAACCTTTCAATCAATGCTTCCAAATTTTAATATGTTGTTACTTACAAGTGAAGGTCAAGTTCAATATTGACAATTTTCACTTTTGATGTTCAGGAACTTCATTCCTTGATATAGAAATAAGAAGATGTGGTATGATTGCCAATGAGACAACTCTCCACAAGAGACCAAAAGACACAGAAATTAACAACTTTAGTACAGCCTTCAACAAGTAGTCTGATTCGTAATGAACTGAAACTTTAATTCAAAACAGTTTTAAAATACAACGGTTAGTAACATTGTGACATAAAAACTATAAATGTGACGAACTCATTTAATAGTATAAACATTATCAGATCACCAACTTATAAAACTTCTCATTATTTGAAATTTGTACAACTTTTAGGAAAATCACTTGAAATATAACTTTAGGAATCTTTTTTTTTTATAGGAATAAAATTATGTTTGGTCAACCACTGTATTAGCAATAAAAATACCTCAATGTGCTCAATAATAAATCATTGTTATTAAAGATGACAGAAGGATCTGTATATTTGTATAGTACAACTCCTGTTGCATTATGGGAATTTTCAAATGTGAGCATGGGCAACATGATTTACAAGGATCTTTAATTTCTCTACTATAAATTAAACAGGATTCCTTTTTTTCTCACAAATTATGCCTAACCCTAAAATTTTTGCATCATGTTATTGGGAAGTATATTTTTGGATCTTGAATGTTAAAAAGTGAAAATTTAAACACTGAAATAAATAAAAATTGTAATGCAATAAAAAATGATAAAATTCAAATTTCCAAAAAATTTGAAACGTTTTGTAATTTCTTTAAATATGAATATTAAGGATTGAATTGATTTCTATCTCTTTTCTGCCACATTCCTTCCAGGGACAAGGTAATCTCAGGATATTGTTGATCTTATGCTTTAACAGAAAATGTACACAATTGGAATAAAAAAATACAGTTATACCATTTTAGATGAATATGTATGTAATTGTGAATGAAATAAATTGAAAATCTAAATGTCAGATGCTTAATTCTTGATGTAAATTTCTTGTCAATTTAGGAAATTTTGACCCTTTGTGAACCTAATCCTTTAATCATCAAAAATCAACTTTATGTATTCATGTATTTGAATGTTGGGAGTTTGTAATGACTAATGTAATTTTAGTTGTAGCAACAACCAAAAAAACACAATTATCTGCACACAAACTTTCTTAAAAATGGTAAATTCAACTGATATAATTGTAAACATTTTGTTTAGATTCTTTGATATTGAAAAAAAAACTTAAAGAAATTAAGTAATTAGGTTAACCTTTGTTCTGTCTTATCAATTTAAATTAACCAGTGGTCATTTTCTGGTGATAATGTGAAAAGAGATTGGCCACCTGAGAGAAAACGAGAAAACTTATATTAAATCTTCTGTAAAAAAAGTTCTTGTTCTCGTCATGAAAAATACTATCGAAAAAAAAAAAGGTTTTATGAATGCAATTCTCATACTGTCACATTTTTGCAGATTTTTATTTTGCATTTATTATTGTGATTGTTAAACTATCAACAAATATGTGAGATTAATAATTGCTATTTCAAGAAATGCTGCATACTAATATTGCTAACAACATTTAATATTTTTGTGAAACCTTTCCTGTAGCGATTTTCACAATAATAAAAAAATCAAGAAAAAATATTCTGCTTATACAGTAGATAAACTATTATAGCTTTTCATTTTTTGTTGTCATCATGTTATTCAGGTATATAAAGTAAGACTTTAGAAGTTTGTAATGAGAATTTACAAGGTGCCTTGTGCAACATAATAGGAGGTTAACATTTTAAATAAAGATATTATTAAAGGTAAAACACACGATTTGTTTTATTTGAGCCCTGTTTATTATCTTCCTTGGAATCAGTTGTTCAGATCAAGAATAGTTAGTCTAAGTTCATCTATAGACATGTTCTTTAAGATGAAGAACAGCAATGAAAGTGTTTTTCCCTGATTGATGGTGAATGCCCTCATGTTTTTGGAATATTTTCCAATGTTTAGCTAACCATATCTCTTTTTTCATCAATTTATCATGCATACCAGTGGACACTCAAAACAGTCTTATATCAATAAAAATTTACTATTTAAAATATAGATTAGATAATTGATCGTAATTATGAATACAATATTTTAAAAAGCTGATAGCACGACAAAAGTAACATGAACATGAACACATTATAATGATTTTGCTTTCGTATTACTTATGATATTTCAGAAATTAACCTTTGCACTATAAACTTAAAGTAGGTGACCTTGTCAAATGAATTACGATTGTTTAAACCAAAGATAATGACCTCTTTATGTAATTGAGAAACTGATCTATCCACAACACTTTGTTGTGATTATTGACTCATGAAAAGAGGTCAAGGTCAGATGACTCCTTTATAAGTTGACCAATTAGGGTACTTCTTTCCTTCCTCAAAATGAGAAACTGACCTAATTATGAGTACTAAATATCAACTTTATAAGTCATTGAGGCCTGAAAATGAGGTCAA